GGGGCAGGGCGGCCGGGGGGCGGTTGAAGAAGGGCAGCACCGACGGCGGCTTCTCCAGGCGCGCGGGCGGCAGCGCGTTCTCCGTGGGGGTGGCGCGGCCGTCGGCGGCGTCGGCGGCGTCGCGGGAGTGGGCCCTCGGCGGCACACCTGCGGGCGGCACAGAGCGGGCCGTGAGACCCCCGGGGAGCCGCGGCCAGCCCCCTCCCCGGCCGCGGCGCGGCGGCGCTCCGTGGCTGCGCTCTCAGCAGAGCGCGAGGTGCCCCGAGGAAGATCCAGGCAGCCAAACGTAGTCTCCGCGTCCGCGCGCCTCCACGGGGGCACTGCGCTCTCCAGGCAGCGCCGTCCCGGGGGGACGCGCTCGGCCGGCAGGACGCTGCAAGAGTGAGTGACCCGCAAGCCAAAAGCCTCAGCAAGTTTCCGGAGATCCCAGTGGAGAGGTCACCGGGTGCCGCGGCCCAACGTCCGAGTGCCAGAAGACATTAGGCGACCCAGAGGGCCCGCAATCCGCTCCCGGGAGCGGGTTCAAAAAGAGCACGARGGAGCACAAGGGGACAGAACCCAAGTGCCACCAGTGCCAGAGCTTCTGCAGGAAGGAGAACGTGGTGCCCGTCTGCACCCCAAGAGACGGAGAAGCGCCCCGCCGTGTCCAAAGAGGGTGAGCCAGGAGAAGCCCAAGGGAGGGCACGGGCCCTGCCCGGGCTCCGGCGCTGCCAAGCCGCGGAGCAGCGCGCGCTCGAGGACTTGCTGCCTAGCTGGAACTGAAGGGCGGGCGCAAAGGACAGGCGACCCCCCTGCAACTTGGCCAAGGCTCTTAGAAAGAAGGACTCTCCCTCAACGAGATGGGCCACGGGATCTACAATGACCACAGCTGGCCAAGACCTCCTCATCGACATTCCTGAGCAGACAGTCCCTCCGGCTCCAGGGCGCCCAGCGTGGGGCCGGAGCGTCACATCGCTGCGGAGCGAGGCAAGGACCACCTATAGCCATTGTAGAAAGCCCACGGCCAGGCCCCAGCTGGAATACTGCGTCCAGTGTTGGGCACCTTACCTCCGCAGGGATGGACAAATTCTGGAGGAGATCCAGAGAAGAGCTACTAATAGATATGGAGGGTCTTAGCTATGTTGATAGCCTGAAGAGCTTAAGCCCATTCAGTTTGGAGAGGAGGAGGAGGAGGCTACGAGGGATCTTCGCAGTGTGTGAGCACCTAAAAGGGGATCATAAAGACTCGGGTCAGGATCTAATCAGACTCAGCAGCAATAGGAAACAACCCACAGAGTCTCCTGGAGGTGTCCCCCCACCCCGAGCTCTCGGTGGGTTCAGCCTGGTAACTGACAGGGATCACGCTGATCACCGCGATCAACTGCSATCACTGCAATCGCTGTGATCAACCGATCACGCTGGGGATCTCCGGGGCCCGGGGGAGCCGGGCACGCGGCGCCGAGGTCCCTCCCGACCCGTGCGGTGCCCGCGCGCCACTTACGTTTGCGGGCCTGCGCCTCGAACTGGGACAGGTTCTGCCGCGTTGCCAGCCTCACCTCCACCTTGTCCCCGTTGAGCACCTTGCCGGGCAGCAGCTCCAGGAGCTTGTGCACCGAGTTCTCGGAGGCCACCACCACCTCCGCATACCTGCGAGAGCGTCCCGCAGTGAGCRGGCAACAGCTCCAAGCACATCACCCGCCCGGGACCCCCGGCAAAGCCCCAGGTAGGTACCTGCTGCGTCCCCACCACCCGCTCCTGCCCTCGCTGGCTAGGCTCCTTCCCCAGCTAGTACCGACGGATCTCTCCATCGGTTCCCCCCTCTCTTACAATCACAGAATGGTTACGGTTGGAAGGGACCTCTAGAGATCGTCTAGTCCAACCTCCCTGCGCACGCAGGGACACCCAGAGCACGTGGCACAGGGCTGCATCCAAGCAGGTGTGGAAGATCTCCAGAGAAGATCTCCACAACCTCCCTGGGCAGCCTGTGCCAGGGCTCTGGCATCCTCACTGTTAAGAATTTTTTCCTTAAGTTCCCGTGGAACTTTTGGTGCTTCCATTTGTGGCCACTTGCTGGGCACCCGCACAAACCCTTGGGGAATCTCCACGTCACCATCCCACCTCCGGATGGACTGTGTGTCCCCGCATCGGCCAGGAAAAGCACTGCCTGCCTCTTCAGTCCCCAGGTCACCTCCCAGGGCGCCGGCCGTGGCTCTGGGGCCTGGCTCTCCGCTTCCKCCACGCTCCCCGTAGCTCTCACCCTTTGGACTGGCCATTGGCTCGGTTCTCGGCAAACTTCAGCTCCACCACATCGTAGACACCCACCGAGCGGATGGTCTGGATCAGCTGCTGGTCAGTTGTCCACTGAAGGGAAAAGGAGAGAGGCCGACGTCAACTCACAAAGCTGTGGGGACACCAGGGCCCCGGTGTCCCCACAGCTACCCCTCCAGCCTGGGGCCTCTCAGCACTTGGAGGGCTAGAGGAGCCACATGAGAGCTTCCATATTCTCAAATGGGATCATCAACCCAGGGCAAAGCAGGGGACTCATCCCCAGCAGAGACACCAAGGGAGAGCCGGGCTGAGGCTGCAGCCAGAGCGAGAGAGACACTCGAGCCCTGCAAGCTGACTGAGGCAGCCCAGAGTCACCAGATCATGGGCAACTTGTCTCCAGAGCCCRAGGGTCTCCAAATCCTTTTTCCCTGAGGATCACAGGGCCAAGGGCAGCTCATGGGCCAGCAGGGACAGCCCCTCCAAGGAGYCGCACAGCCCACGGAGAGTCCAGGGCTCGTTTTCCCTGGAGCAATCTCACGCCTGCCCGCGCCGCTCACCCAGGAGAAGCTGCCCACGTAGACGGCGGCCCTCTTGTTGCGCAGGCCGCTGTAGGTGTAGAGGATGGCCGGAGCCTTGTTGTTGGGCTTGGGGGAGGGCTCCTGGCGGATCTCCGGCGGCGCCTCGGCGCTGCTCGCGCGGCTCTCGGCGGGCTGCGCGCTGGCCGCGAGCACGTCGTCGTACAGGTCCATCTGGTCGGCATTACTGAACTCGGAGTCCTGCCGGGGAAGAGCTCGTGAGCACGGCGGCCGAGGCGGGCGCTCCCGCGGGAAGCGGCTCCGCAGGGAACGGCCCGTGGCGCGGCGCTCGGCAGCTCCAGCACGTGCCAGGGCACTCGGCACCTCGCAGGGGGCAACACTCTGCCCGCTGCCAGGGCCGCGCATCCCGGGGCTCCGGCCGTGCCCAGGGCCAGCACCAAGGCAGGGTGCGGAACGAGCCTGTCCGCCCTGCGGAGAGGGGAAMACGGCTGGTTCCTGCGCACACGACACGCGCAGGGTTGAGGACTGCACCTCAGGACGGGAAGGGAAGAGCAGCCCCGCTGTGAGCCCCAACAAGAGCCACCTCCAAAGGCGCAAGGGCCTCGGCGTGGGCTCCCTGAGGCCAACGGGGCCGGCTCAGCGCGCACTGCTCAAGTCCACGTGCCCAAGGGCACCGGGCCACGCCGCTTCCAGGGAGAGATGCTCCTCCGTTCAGTTCCGCCACGTGCTCCCTCGGTGAGCAGAGGCCTCGCTCAGCCCCAGGGCAACTCAGAACTTGCTCCTCGAAGATGCAACCAGGAAAAACCTCCCCTTTTATAAACACACAAGGCCCAAAGTTCAAGGGCAGGGAGCACCCCTCCGGGCCAAATGCACTAGACAAACTTTTCTCCCCTGGGCAGGCAAACACTTCAGGCACCAAACCCCCAGTTCTACCAGTTGGGCTCCGAAACACCAGCTAAGTCTCACTGATGCTCAGTGTGATCGCAGCCCCGTTCCTCTGTGGGCCAGCCGAGCTCTCCTCGGGGTGAGAGTTGCACACAACGTCTTTACACATGTCTGTACACACGTCTGCACACACAACGTTTTTACACACGTCTTTACACAGCCGCTCCTCGGCAGCGCAGCCCTTCCCAAAACGAACCAGCCAAGGAGGCAACCTCTGAGCTGCAAACTCCAGCGTCCTAGATCTGCCTTCCMATTCCCACCCCGATTCTAGGCTATATTTAATCCGAAGCATCCAGCGAGCGCTGTGTTTACTACGTATCTTCATACTAATCACTCGTGCAAACTCAGCGGGCGCAGAGCAGTGAATTACTACGCGAGTACTCGTCCCACTGGAGCGAGGCRCAGACCTGATGAAGTACCAGGAAAAGAGGCCCTACGCCAGGAACCTGGGGAACTAAGTGAGCCGAATCTTTGGTGGAGGGCCACGGAAGCACCAGGGCTGGGTAGTTCTGGAGGAAGGAAACCCCAGTGCTCTCTCCGCTTGCTTCCATTGAGGCAGTAGGAGCTTTGCCGGAGCCTTGTGGCAGCAGCCACCTCCCCACAGCTCCCGGGAAGCCTTTTGCCTTGCCCTTCCTTCACAAGCACGTCCGCCAGCCACACAGCTCCATTCCCAGCAGTGCTCTGCAGAAAATACCCCTTTGGGGAGGCCCTTTGGATATGTGGAGCGGGGCCACAAGAACACCACGGCGGCTCTGTGCTCCAGACTGTGAAGGCAGCGCAGACGACATCTCCAAGGGGCCAAGCTCTTCTCAGTGGTGGCCAATGACAGGACAAGGGGTAGTGGGTCTATGTTGAAACCCAGGCAGTTCCATCTCCACGTGAGGAGGAACTTCTTTGCTGTGAGGGTGCCCGAGCCCTGGCAGAGGCTGCCCAGGGAGGCTGGGGAGTCTCCTTCTCTGGAGATCTCCAAATCCACCTGGATGCCACCCCGTGCTCTGGGTGTCCCTGCTGGAGCAGGGGTTGGACTAGATGATCCCTAGAGGTCCCTTCCAACCTCAACCATCCTGCGATCCTGTGTGTGATCCCATGAGAGACGCCACAGTGCAGTTAAACCCCTTGGAGCCTGAAGGCTGGGGAGCTGCGCGTGCCACACGTCTCTTCGCGAGCACCTGCGAGGGGAACGGCGCTCAGCAGGCCCCTTCAAGGGTCACACCGGAGTCAAAGGACGGGATTTTTCCCCCAGACATTCTCAAGCCCCTTCCCACCAGCAGCAGCCATTGGCAAGTCACACTTTAACTTCTGTCATTCGGCTATTTCAGCTGCAGAGCTGATAAAAGGTTACAAGAATTTCAACAGGGAGAAGTATTTTGGTACTCATTCTCAAAACAGCTCCACTGTTTGCTTAATCTGCCTCCCACACTCCTACCCCCACCAGTTGCCTTTGGACAARGCCCAAGACGGGAACATTTCAGTCCAAAAGGTAAGTTTCAAAAACTTGAGGAGAACAAAACCACAGGGCTCTCACAGAAAGCATGTGGAAGCCTTCACTTACGCTCCTTGGCTGCCGTTTCAGCTTAGAAGTCTGCAGAGATCCTCTTGGCTCTGTTTGTTCTTGGGCATTGCTTTAAAAACCAACATCCTCAAGGGAAGAGGATGCAGGAGCAGCCACAGTTCACGTGCTGCCCATCATCTCACGTGGCACATTTGCAGACCTGAAATACGTGCACCTGAAATAGGCACCAACGTGTCCTGTGTCACCCACCTGCTCGCTAAGGGCTTGCCCGCAACTCAAGGCCCAGCCTGGTGAACCCATCAYGGGCTCTGGATGCTCCGTGCGATTTGGGAACACGCTTCAACTCCTGGCGTGGCACAGGGGCCGTGGGGCAGAGGGCGGTGCCTGCAGTTTGGGTTCTCCTGCGTGGCTCTTGATGACCACAAGTGGCCTTGATGACCACTTCCATCTCTCAGAGCCCTCTATCTACTCGGCTATGTCAAAGATCTCCTGGGCCCTGTCCCCCAAACGCACCAGTTCAAGCTTTCCACACCAATTCCTGCTGCGTTGTACACAGGCTCGCTCCTGCTGCCCCGTCCTTCCTCTCAACACTAACAACTTGACCCTGAGAACGTTCAGGACTCGACAAAGACAAGACCGGACGCACCAAAGACCCTCTTGGCTTCCCTGCAGATCCTTCCCCCTCAGCTCAACGCACGGCTCTTCCAACCCTTCCTTCTTCAGGCCTTGCAGCACAGGAGCCTCCCCTGCCAAGGCAGCCCGAAGGCGCAACCAGGACAGGCAGCATTTCACCATACAGGCAGAAAATCAGTTACAGCTGCACAGTTTTCCCCCTTCACCTTCTCACCTATTCACCTGCTACCCTCCAAGACGCTCAGGGACTTTCCAACCCACACCTCCTCAKGCCGCATCTTCTGCAGACAAAGATTTCTTATTTACTTTCCTGTAGCCCTATCACTGTTTTCTTTTGGCATTTATGGTAATTGTCATAAATGACAATTTTCCATTTCATGTATTTTAAATTCCATCCCAGAAACCTCAACAGATTTTATTTTTTCCGCACGTTCTCTCTTTATTCCTTCAGTTACTCAACTGTATTATTCTGCTCCCAAGTCCAGGTGTATTTTCCTGATTCTAAAAGCTACTGGMAAGGAAATATACAAATTAAAATTGTACTTCTAACCCCCAACAGTTCGGACTGGTCACATTATAGATTGTACAGCACTTGGGGAATGTGACTTCTGGGTGCTTTTCTGAAGAAAACAGGTCTGAAGGGAGAAATACTGGAGAGTTTGAGGTCATGCCCAGGCAGGTGCAGGGCAGCCTGGCTGCTGTAAGCACCACAAACACCACATACTTGCTTTGCAACTCACCTTTACATTGAGATTTCCATTCTTTGGGCAATGGTAGGACCAGCTTTGGCTGTGTCCTTCCCTAACGCAACTGCTTGCAGGGCAAGACTCCTGCTTCTTCCTAGACAGCTCAAATTATCTCGCAGTCCCCTCATCTCTGAGGAGACTGATGTGCTCTTCTGAGGTTGCACTTATCTCTGAAGGTTTAACTTGGGGCATATTCTCACTTGATAACCTCCTGCCCTTTCAGAATAAAATATATATATATATATATATACACACAGCTATATATTTGTTGCCCTTAGCTCCTCTTCAGCCCTCTAGGAGCTCTAGGCAACTGTCAGTTCCTTCTTCCTTGTGCCTTCTAGTTCTCGCAGCTTGCCATCCAGTGAGAACCACCTTCCCTCCATGGTCCTTCCATGACACGGTTTTCATCTTCCAAGCTTTTACACTCGCCCTCCTCCGCTGTCCACATCCCTGGACCCCCTAGAACTGGCTTGTGTGGAAGCCGCGCACACCCATTCTCCAGGTGACAGGGCCCTGTCAGCCTCGGCCTCCGACACCCGCAGCCAATGACCTGGAACCGGCGCCTCCCCGACCACAGCAAGTTCCCTCGTGGGTCCCCACCGGCACGCGTGTCCAGAAGATCCAGGAGGTCGGTGCTCTGGGAAGGGTCCCTTGGTGCAGTTCTCCTCCAGGGAAGGGTCCCCTGGCGCAGCTCTCTTCCAGGGTGGATGCYTTCCTTCTCCAACCAGAGCAGGTCACAACCACCCACCTGGATCCCCAGCCACTGATGCCTCAGTAAGGGCTTTGGCGGGAAGCCTGCCTCCCTCCCAACCCAACCGCTCGACTATTTTGTAACCAACATCCACAGGTTGGATCCCCTGCAAAACCCACACAAGCAGGTTCCTTTCGTAGGTCTAAATCACAGCTGCCACAAGAGCCTCCATTGGTGGTTTCCCAGCGGGAACGACCCTTCAGTGCTGCCCTATTACATACACGGAATCACAGGATGGTTGAGGCTGGAAGGGATCCCTAGGAATCAGCGAGTCCAACCCCCCTGCTCCAGCAGGGACACCCAGAGCACGGGGCACAGGGTGGCATCCAGGTGRGTTTTGGAGACCTCCCGGGATGGAGACTCCCCAGCCTCCCTGGGCAGCCTGTGCCAGGGCTCCGTCACCCTCCTGGCACCCAAGCTGCCAGCCGAGCGGGGCGCCCCGCGCTCACCTGGTTGAACTCCTCGTCGGCGTAGATATCGATGAGATCCACTCCCTCGGACATGCTTCCGGAGCCGGGCCCGAGGAGGCGGGCAGGGAGCGGGCAGGCGAGGCACGAGGAGCCAAGGAGCACTGCGGGACGGGACATGGGACACGGGAGCCCCGGTGAGAGCCCCGGGGGGACCTCAGCCCCCCTCCCCCGAGGGGCCCGTGCCCACGGAGCCCCCCGTTACCGGGCACCCCCCCCCCTCACCGCGGGCATCCCCGCGACCCCGCCGCGCGCTCGCGGGGGCCAGGCGCGAGGGCGGCTCCCCGCGCGGGGCCGAGCAACGAACGCACCGGGGAGCGGCCGCCGCAACCCCGCCGCTGCGGA